AGAGGTAATGAATTAGACTTGATATAATGCCACTTGATCATATATCCTGTGGTGGAACTCATTTGAGTTTCCCTTACCCATAGGACTGTGCGCCCACAAGCCACAACTACTATCCCCAAGCTGCTCCATCCAGAGCATTAGAAGCTGGTTCAAGCAAGGATATACAAGTGATAGAAATTAGGAGGATTTGAGGTAATTATAATTAATTCATCGAGTCTAGAAGAAACCTCAACAGAATGCAGAAAGCACTGGACGGCCGTTTCGTCCTATATTTGGGACTCATCAGCAGTGTGCATCCACTACAGAGAATTGAAACCCAGACAGTTATGATATCAAGCAAGCATCATACCAACTGTACCAATGGCCTTGGTGACAAAGAAGTAACAAATTAGACTCGATATAGCATCGCTCGATCACATTTTCCATGGTGGAACTGTTTTTGACAGTTCCGGACATCCTGAGATAATATGGTTGAGAGTTTCATCATATTTTCTGCATTTCGGCTTAGTTCAATCCTTGATAATGTCCTATCTCTGTAACTGGGTCTGGGCGATGTTCATACCAGTTTCTTGCAGTTTCCTTCCTGTAAAAATTGCATTATTTTCCAGTGTAGATATTGGCTCACTCTATCATACCAAGTTTTATATTCAGTGGGTTACAACATTGTGTAACCTGATACAAGATGATCAGTTGTTTCTGGATATTTATCACAAAATTTGCATTTCAGGTTAATACAATTTTTCAGTATATATGCTTAGTAATTTATAGTTAGCAAGTATTGGTCCTTTGCAGCAAGAAGAAAACCTTTCAGTTTTAGCTTTTAACCTTGCACTACATAACCACTGATAGGTACAGAGTTTGTTTACATCAGCTTGTTTGGTATGGGCAGAGTATTGACCATGAAGAGGCTTATCTTGCCACTGTTTTGCATTTAGTACATTACATTTGCTTTTGCTTTCTTTTTTTAGGTTCTTTACAGTAGGTGTATTATGGTTTATTTGCCCTTCTTCACCCACTTGAAATTCCATTTTGAATTTGTTGGTTTTCTTCATTATTATTTTTTATTATTTCTATTATAATTCTGCTTGTCACCTCATTTCATTATTTAGTTCATATGATCGTTACGCCCTGCTAATACTTCATGAATAATGAACTATTTCATTTTGACTGCATGAAAACACTGAACTGATATATCAGAAACACTACTTGGTTTCAGTCAGAAAAAGAAAGAAAGAAAGAAAGGAGAGATAGAAGTGTTTAGCAAAGTGAAATGGAAAAATTTATTAATAAAAATGTTTTCAAGATAGGTTTTCAGCTAGTTATTATTATTATTATTATTATTATTATTATTATTATTATTATTATTATTAAGTAATACTTGTTGCTGAGTATGCCCATCTGCAAAAATGACTAGCTAGTCCCTGTTGCAAGCACTTGCTCAAGCACATTTGTGTTTAACACCTACATAACCAACCTGTTGTTTATATTGCAACTATACTGAGCTGATCCTAGTTCCTAGGAGTGCATACTCTGACATGATCAGCAGTTTGAAAAACACTAGTGTACTCAAACCTTCAGTCAAGATGATTTTTTACTTCATTCTAGCACACCCATGGCAGGTTCCCAAGCAGTTTTGCCTATCCAGTTTTCCTTATGAGGCTTCAGGCTATTCTCAAGTGCCACATATGGGGATGTCGGGATCATTTTCCCAGGTTGATATTATCAAGAATTTACTTCTTTAGTAAATTCACCAGAGTGAGATTCAAACCTAGATCTCACGATTGGGACATTACTATTCCATTCAATCAGCTATGTACCCACTATTATTATTTTTATCATCATCAGCATACTCATCATCATTATTTTATTATCATCATTATCATCATCATCATAATCATCATCATTATTTTTATTGTTATTATTGTCATCATCATCATCATCATTATTGTCATCATCATCATCATCATCATCATCATTATTATTTTATTATCATCATTATCATCATCATCATAATCATCATTATTATTTTTATTGTTATTATCATCATCATCATTATTATTATTGTCATCATCATCATCATCATTATTATGGCTTTGACAAGGACACAGGAACAAGAAATGCAATATTCATTATTAGAATGATATCAGAGAGAACAATACAAATGCAGAATAATGTGCACTTATGTTTTGTAGATCACACAAAAGCATTTCACAAGGTAAGGCACAAGGGTCTATTTGAACTGCTAGGAAAACTCAACCTATTTGGAAAAGATGTTAGAATAATCCAGAACACATATATGGAGCAAACTGCCAGCATACAAATAGAAAATAAACTGAGTAGCTATACAAAAATAGAAACGGGCATGAGACAAGGATGCATTTTCTCTCCAGATTTATTCTACCTTTACAGCGACAATATCCTAAGGGAACTGGAGACCCTACCAGGATTTATTATGGGTGGAATAAATAAGATATAGAGATGACAGTGCATTGATGGCCAA